AGCCAATGTGTAGAAAATATTTACATACAAACATATCAGTACTTCAGATTTATCCAAGAAGTAACAAAACTGTTGTTTGGTTGCTGGGTATGGATGAAAACATCACAGAAAATCTATATAACCAGACAACTACCACTATAATGGCAGCAAGGCAAATGCTAGTTACAAAGGTTTTATCACAAACTAATACTTAAGAAAATGACTGGATTTTGAATTATACCATAAAAGCACACAAGTATTAAGTTTTCGGTAACACCTACCATCTAAACTTAAGTAAGTAATCAGAAACGTAAAAAATAATAAATGCTGAGTACCTACTTCATATAAATAGTAATAAAGATGACTTTGCGTTAGGTATGTCTTCAGCACATGTTTTCTCTAACAGTGAAAAATGCATTTAACTCTACCTTTAACATGTTAGCCAAACTAAAAGAGCTGCCGATTTAAAGGTTCAAGCACTGGAGCTATGAAATAATAATAATAATAATAATGGGTGTAAAAAGAAACATTGTTAAGTTGTTCATGCTGGATTAAGACTCTTGTAGCTATTTCGCTTGAATATACACCCTGTAACTTTTTTGGAAACATCATTCAGATTTCAATCAATGAGATGCCTTAAAAATGACAATGCAGGGAACACTTTGAATAACGTACCCAAAACAAATTACAAAATGGCTTCAAACTTCACTGTAAACTAAATCAAGGATGAGATCTTTTTTAAACATTTTCAATTCCAAGACCCTTTGTTCATAACAATGAAAGATTGTAATTAAGAAATTACATCCATCTCAGATTTTAACTCCATTATATCATACAAAACAGGAGAAATGTCAAAGATTAACTTACACTGCTCAGAAGGGTACAGTAATATTAATATTATCACAATAAAACAGGGAAAAATTAAATAATAAATCACAATGTTTCAGTAAAACAGTACTTGGTAAACGCAAACACATACTTCTGCCATCAAATCTCTGAATTTGGTAACTGTGCTAATGCTTGAACGCATACACAATCTTCCAAGCATACAATCTTTGGTATAGTAATGTAATAAGTACCGACAATTCAATCACTTGGTGCACCAAATATAAAGGTAGAAAAAAAGATATAAGAAAATTTTTGGGTGACTGTTACCACAGTTGTGAGAGGTGAACGAATTTTTAAATCTTGTTAGCATGAATATCCATAAATCTATCTGTCTCCCTTCTTTACTAAAGCCCTTAAATTTCTTACTATGATCTCATGCTGGGACTGTATCTTATTGAAACAGAAACAAGGGAAAAAGTGCTAGAGATGAAAAACCCAAAGATACAAAGGTATGTGACAATACACTGGTCTTACCCAATACTTATCAAACTACAGGGGTAAAAAATCGCACTCAAAATGCTATGTAGTGGTTGATCAAATGACAGAGTTCCTCTTCTTCTTCCAAAAGATTCACTTATGCACAGAAAATTGAACTACTGTCTCTAATTTGACTGAAGATGGTTTGAATGACCAAAATAATAAAAGTTGGTGAAATTTCAAGAAAAGAAATTTCTGAGGTTTAAACTCAGGTTGCTTGCGGGAGCTTCACACAGTCTGAACTATATCAGAATATTTTGGAGGAGGAGAAGGAGGAGGAACAAAGTCATCCTCTGAAGAGTCAGAGGAGAGGAGTGGGACTTTTTTGTCATCAGATTCCAGGTGAACACGGAGAACACTACGAGACAGTTGTAATTCACGAGCCTCACGAGCCTCACGTCGTATGCGTATTACCCTAACTTTCCTGGCTCTCTTCGCAAGCGATACAACATACATTAGATAGCACATGAGACCAAAAAGAGTCAAGCAAAGTGGGATGGCAATGGCACCAGCTAAAACAGGGTCAGTAGAAGGATCTTTAAAGAAGGTCAGAACATGTTCTAAAGATGTTTTTCCAGCAAGCCTCCTTTTGATGTTGGTGTACATACCCTGCAAATCAAATAGAATTATTAGAAAAGGTATAAACTAAAATAATAGAGGTTTCATACTGTGGGAAAAATATGAGCTTACCAAAGAATCTTTACGTGGTATAGTTTTATAACTAGAGCGAGATAATCCACCATTTTTGATATCTATAGCAGGATCGAAGAGAATTGTTTCCGTTTCTTCTGCAATATAAAAAAGAGAACATTATGAATGTAAATTCACAAGTCATGTTCTGGTTTTGATTACAAAAATATTTAGCAAACTTACCCAAATCAAGCTGGGCATAGGCTCGAGACAGATCCGCTGGCTTTTGATAACAGAAACAATCGTTACAATCGTACAACAAGACGAAAAAATAAATAATCCAAGAGCAGTAGTTTCTCGCATCTATTAATACCAAAAGGCATTAAATAAACTTACTGTAATTTTTGGAGACACAACTTTTCCACTGCAAGCCTCTACACAAGCACGAGAAAATATGTTATCATTTTCTGGGCTTGATTTGTATTCATCATGGCATCCTGTAAGTAAAAACATAATCCAGAACATATAAACCAATTGTGAGTCAGCAAACCCAACCATAACAAGAGATGACAGAAAATTAAAACATTAACCTTTAATGCAAAGATTCTTTGATGTCTCATATTCAAACTTATCAGGTCCCATTTGAAGTAGACATGTTGTACGACATCCAATGTAGCACGCCCAATGGAGAGCAGCAGACCCTAGCCAATGTGTAGAAAATATTTACATACAAACATATCAGTACTTCAGATTTATCCAAGAAGTAACGAAACTGTTGTTTGGTTGCTGGGTATGGATGGAAACATCACAGAAAATCTATATAACCAGACAACTACCACTATAATGGCAGCAAGGCAAATGCTAGTTACAAAGGTTTTATCACAAACTAATACTTAAGAAAATGACTGGATTTTGAATTATACCATAAAAGCACACAAGTATTAAGTTTTCGGTAACACCTACCATCTAAACTTAAGTAAGTAATCAGAAACGTAAAAAATAATAAATGCTGAGTACCTACTTCATATAAATAGTAATAAAGATGACTTTGCGTTAGGTATGTCTTCAGCACATGTTTTCTCTAACAGTGAAAAATGCATTTAACTCTACCTTTAACATGTTAGCCAAACTAAAAGAGCTGCCGATTTAAAGGTTCAAGCACTGGAGCTATGAAATAATAATAATAATAATAATGGGTGTAAAAAGAAACATTGTTAAGTTGTTCATGCTGGATTAAGACTCTTGTAGCTATTTCGCTTGAATATACACCCTGTAACTTTTTTGGAAACATCATTCAGATTTCAATCAATGAGATGCCTTAAAAATGACAATGCAGGGAACACTTTGAATAACGTACCCAAAACAAATTACAGAATGGCTTCAAACTTCACTGTAAACTAAATCAAGGATGAGATCTTTTTTAAACATTTTCAATTCCAAGACCCTTTGTTCATAACAATGAAAGATTGTAATTAAGAAATTACATCCATCTCAGATTTTAACTCCATTATATCATACAAAACAGGAGAAATGTCAAAGATTAACTTACACTGCTCAGAAGGGTACAGTAATATTAATATTATCACAATAAAACAGGGAAAAATTAAATAATAAATCACAATGTTTCAGTAAAACAGTACTTGGTAAACGCAAACACATACTTCTGCCATCAAATCTCTGAATTTGGTAACTGTGCTAATGCTTGAACGCATACACAATCTTCCAAGCATACAATCTTTGGTATAGTAATGTAATAAGTACCGACAATTCAATCACTTGGTGCACCAAATATAAAGGTAGAAAAAAAGATATAAGAAAATTTTTGGGTGACTGTTACCACAGTTGTGAGAGGTGAACGAATTTTTAAATCTTGTTAGCATGAATATCCATAAATCTATCTGTCTCCCTTCTTTACTAAAGCCCTTAAATTTCTTACTATGATCTCATGCTGGGACTGTATCTTATTGAAACAGAAACAAGGGAAAAAGTGCTAGAGATGAAAAACCCAAAGATACAAAGGTATGTGACAATACACTGGTCTTACCCAATACTTATCAAACTACAGGGGTAAAAAATCGCACTCAAAATGCTATGTAGTGGTTGATCAAATGACAGAGTTCCTCTTCTTCTTCCAAAAGATTCACTTATGCACAGAAAATTGAACTACTGTCTCTAATTTGACTGAAGATGGTTTGAATGACCAAAATAATAAAAGTTGGTGAAATTTCAAGAAAAGAAATTTCTGAGGTTTAAACTCAGGTTGCTTGCGGGAGCTTCACACAGTCTGAACTATATCAGAATATTTTGGAGGAGGAGAAGGAGGAGGAACAAAGTCATCCTCTGAAGAGTCAGAGGAGAGGAGTGGGACTTTTTTGTCATCAGATTCCAGGTGAACACGGAGAACACTACGAGACAGTTGTAATTCACGAGCCTCACGAGCCTCACGTCGTATGCGTATTACCCTAACTTTCCTGGCTCTCTTCGCAAGCGATACAACATACATTAGATAGCACATGAGACCAAAAAGAGTCAAGCAAAGTGGGATGGCAATGGCACCAGCTAAAACAGGGTCAGTAGAAGGATCTTTAAAGAAGGTCAGAACATGTTCTAAAGATGTTTTTCCAGCAAGCCTCCTTTTGATGTTGGTGTACATACCCTGCAAATCAAATAGAATTATTAGAAAAGGTATAAACTAAAATAATAGAGGTTTCATACTGTGGGAAAAATATGAGCTTACCAAAGAATCTTTACGTGGTATAGTTTTATAACTAGAGCGAGATAATCCACCATTTTTGATATCTATAGCAGGATCGAAGAGAATTGTTTCCGTTTCTTCTGCAATATAAAAAAGAGAACATTATGAATGTAAATTCACAAGTCATGTTCTGGTTTTGATTACAAAAATATTTAGCAAACTTACCCAAATCAAGCTGGGCATAGGCTCGAGACAGATCCGCTGGCTTTTGATAACAGAAACAATCGTTACAATCGTACAACAAGACGAAAAAATAAATAATCCAAGAGCAGTAGTTTCTCGCATCTATTAATACCAAAAGGCATTAAATAAACTTACTGTAATTTTTGGAGACACAACTTTTCCACTGCAAGCCTCTACACAAGCACGAGAAAATATGTTATCATTTTCTGGGCTTGATTTGTATTCATCATGGCATCCTGTAAGTAAAAACATAATCCAGAACATATAAACCAATTGTGAGTCAGCAAACCCAACCATAACAAGAGATGACAGAAAATTAAAACATTAACCTTTAATGCAAAGATTCTTTGATGTCTCATATTCAAACTTATCAGGTCCCATTTGAAGTAGACATGTTGTACGACATCCAATGTAGCACGCCCAATGGAGAGCAGCAGCCTGAAAATGTATACAAGATAGAGAAGCATAAGAGTCACTTACAAAACCATGACTGCTACAAGTATAATAAAAGTTGAAAGGAAGGATGAACAGTGTTAAATTGTAGAGGGTGTGTTTAGTTAAAGGGAATTAATAGTATAGGCTATATAGAAAACATAAAAGAAAATTTAAGCAAATGGTGTTGATTAAGGCTACAAGGTACAAACAAAAGAGGCTATGAAAACAATGGACAAAGGTCTTTGACGCAGCATCAACGCAAAATTAATCGTTAAATAGTTTAGAATAAAATGAGAAACACTTCGTCTGCCAACTAAATCTACATGGAGCGTCGAGAAAAACAAGAGTCAGACACAAAACACTCTGTGATCTCACCTTTCTGCTCTCCTCTGGGGTTACGTAGGGGCTCTTGGGGCACAAGTCATCGCACTGACCACAGACGACATTCATGTTGAAAAACTCGGCAGCCACTCGCCCCCATTGCGTCGCCGATGTCCTCTCGACGACGGCGACGGTCGTCGCGTCGACGAAGACGGAGGCCGTGGCGAGGACCAGGACCGCGAAGAGGAGGCCCGTGTTCATGGTGGCCGCGCGCCGTCGCTCCGCCGCCGATGCACCCAACATGGCGGCCGCAGGACCAGGACCCCGACCCGATCACAAAGGACCTGCCGGCAGGGAAGCGAACCCTCGGTCACCGGGGGGCGTGCCCAGCTCACCTGCTTGCCTCCGAGCTGCAGTCGTGAACGGCCCCACGGCCAGGGCGTAAATCCAGTCTACGAACCTGTCAAGCAGCCGATTTTACGAGTGAGGGCGGGCTTCTGCTGTAGAGGCGGGGAGCGCAGTGACTGACGGGAGCGGAGCGGAGGGTGGCGCGCAGGGGGTGGGTGGGTGGATCGGTTGGGGCCGTAGCGGGGGTACGTACGCGGAGTCGCGCGCGCGCGGGGTACAGTCGTCTCGCCCGAAACCTGACACGGTGAAAGAAACGGTCTCGAGACGATTTTCTGGCGGGTTGTGGCCTTAATTAAGCGCTGCTTAAAAAGACTCCAGGAGTTTGAATCGTGCCGCGGGCGCTCGGCCAAAAGCAGCTCGGCTCTTCTCCCCCGCCGCTGTTCGGCTCCTCAGATCACTCGGCCACGGTTCGGACGGACGGCGACGGGATGCAAAGAGCCAACCTTCAGCAGTGGAGCAGGGCTGTCAGGGGGGGTCAATACTCGGGCGCAGCTCTGCGCAGCCGGGTGCATCATGGGGGATGATGTGACAGTCGCTGTCGGCGCAGGACCCCGGGCGGGGGAGGGGTAAGCAGGCAGGTGGGAGATGAACCACGCATACAAAAATCAATCCAGGTGAATGGGGGAGGGCGCCCAGGTCACGTCACGTGTAAACGAGCTTAGAGGGGTTAAGCGCGGTGGCTCCCCGGAAGAGTTTTTCCCTCCGACATTTTGATGCGCGGATCAGACTGACGCCGTACTAATTAAACGCAAAAATAACAAGTTGCGCGCTCGGTCAAAATTTATACCGTGCAAAAGTTTTGAATCTGAATCGTCATCGTCCTGGCGAAGACCTTAGCGGGTATACCCGAGGTATATCATCGTGCGATGCTAATATAGATAGGGCCGCGGCCGCGGAGCTAGCTCCTCTTCCCGCCAACTCCATCTACTTTGCATTGCATCTTCGTTGCTGGCATGCTGCGGGCGGGGGCGGGCTGTGGCGGGCTTCCAATGAACGCCACTCACTCGTCGCCAATCAAGGAGGGAATGGAGCGGCGGAGCGAGGCGGAGCAGCTCCTCCTCCATCCATAACAGCAGCGCCTAAGAAGACTGAGCACAAGACGAGGCGCCGCAGCGGGGGGAGGGAGGGAAGGACATGGCAGAGCACGGCAGAGCACTAGGCACTGCATATATTGCGAGTCTGCCTGGGGCTTACGTCCGCACACCGGGGGGTAGGGTGACGGGAGGAAGGAGGGGCAAGGAATAAGGTGGCAAAGCCGGGCAGAGGGCGAAAAAAAAGGAATAAGGTAAAGAAAAATAGGACGAGGTTGGGGAGGGTCAGGGAAGGGAACGCTGCAGCAGTAGCGGGAAAAACGAAAATAAAAACACGCTTGGAGTTTTACATGTCGGCACGCAGGGAGGGAAAAGTCCAAAGAGTGACACTACACGGAAAAAGAAAAATGATTCCCATACGGCTTTATCGCTCAGCCACAGATATAGCAGATAGTGCTCGAGTGGATGGGGTGGGCGTTCGTTTTCAGAGAACCCCATCCCCCTCTTTTTACCTTCACCGGCGAAAACATACGCTTCCTGATGGTGTATCATACCGAGGCGCAGACGTCTGCCGCAAGAGCAGGTTCTAGACTAGAAACTAGAAACCTCCCCTCTCGCGTTGGATACACACGCCTTTCCAGGAAGGTAAAGCAAGTTCCAGTTATTAGTGCTGCAGAGGATAGGTGAGTCGCGACACCGAGGGGGGCGTAGCGTACGGCGGGGAGGCGGTGCCCTGGCGGTGCCCTGGTGGGCCCCGGCGGTGCCGTGCCGCCGCGACGCCCCGCCAGGCCCCGCCAGGCGCCCCGTCCGGTCGGCCGAGCTCAGTTGGGCCCAGGCAGTCGAGGGGGGAGGACGGCCGACGCGCCCCCTTGTACACGCCAGCTATCCGCGAGCACCGCCGCGCCGCGCGCGCGCCCGCCCTCCACCTGTAGCTGTGTGAGTGTGCGCGTGTGTGTGAGACGCGACCACGCACGCACACGGGCCGCGCGAGGCTGAGTGCGTGCACGCCTGTATCTGTCGCGCTCCGTGGTGGTGACAGTGTGTGTGTGCACGTGCGAGCGTGCGAGTTGTGAGTGTGTTTGTGTAGGTGCACGGAGGAGATGTGACCTGATGAGCGAAAGGATTTAACGCCGCAGTCGCATCGTATCACATCTGCCCGTCGCGAGTCCAAAGGTGCGTAGCTACATGGCGTACCGACAGCATGCCTAGGCGTACGGAACGGACAGTATGCGTGCCGAGCTAAACGGGCAGCTAGGTAGTGGTGCTCGTAAAAGGCTGAGGGGGGCAGACCAATCCAAGGTTGAAACGGGAGCGGATATCGCGATATCGCATACGATATCGCCCCGTCCACATCGTTGTTGGACACTGCGGGCGGGCTTGCGCATATCGTCTCTGACCACAGCACCTTACGGGTAGGCAACCAGCCCACACGCCTGCAATGCGGTACAGTCTACGGGGCACGGAGCTTTTCAGCCACCTGGTACACTATCTGCTCGTAGCAAGAGTCTTACTTGATAAAATGAAAACAGAGAAGCTACC